CCCACTTCAGAACAAACACGATTTATAATATTACGAAGTTAAAATATCTTAACAAATAGTACAGTAAACTTTACAAATCATACATTTTCATCAGTGAGAGAAGAAATGGTTGAGTCTCAAAACAACCATACGTTTTTGTCAGTGAGAGATGAAATGGTTGAACCTCAAAATAACCATACGTTTTCGTCAGTGAGAGAGGAGATGGTTGAGTCTCAAAATAATGAAATGACTACAGACTTTCAATTACAAGTAATTAGGAATGCAGTTGATGAATGTTTGCAAGAGTTTCGAACATCTTTACGTAATGACATACAAAATATGCATTTAGAATTATTACGACAGTTTCATATTCAAAAGGTAGCGATATATCTTCATTTTTAAATTTTCTTTATATATAAATTCAGGTTTAATTAACGTATACGTATTATCACCAGACTGAGATGGAAATGATGTTTCTGAAATACTGCGGGGAAACATTATCACTTCGTGAAGAGGTCGAACGACTTCGAGAAGAAAATCAAAGGCTAAAGGCTAGAGTTGCGACCCAAAACTTTTTTTGAACGATGACATAATTACGTAGTTTGGGTTTGTGAATCGGGATTTCTACTTGATTTGGGATAATAACCAAAATCCAGATATATTCCAAACTCAAGAACCTGACAAATTTATTAAGTCAATACTAAAAATTATTAAAATATCGTTGCATTTTCAAATTAGGAACCTAATAGTGATTTAGCGACTAAATAGGATTGTTAACTAAATTTATAGACTAGTCTAATATTTATATTGGAAATGTATACAATAAAAAAATAATTATAGAGTGAAAGTTTTTCACATTCAAAATAAATGTTGAATCATAAATAATCTTTTCAACGAAGTTTTTTACGATATTCGTCAGAGGTAATGAAATTATCTATAAAAAAAACTATTAGGTATTTTTTGAATAAAATACTGTATATATAGGTAACATCTATTTTAAATCAATTGATTATTTATTGGTGTTATCTATACTATATTTTATCCCAATTTTTTTTTAGCAAATTTAGCCTTATTAAGAAAAGAGTAAGGGGTTCTATTTTGTTCCAAAGCTATATGCTTAGCAGCCTCTTTTTAATTACAGATTTAAAAAAAACTTTACTTGGCTGCTTTAAAAGTGCCTAAAAAAAATGTGACCTATTATATATACCAGCTTTTATTTTCTTTTTAGGTTCTCTAACTTACTAGAGAATGTCAAATTTATAGAAAAATTGCAAACTTTAATATAAATTACAGTATATATATATTTTTTTACAGGTTTTGTAAATCAAGTTCGTACAAACAGACAGTCAAATTCGTACAAGCAGAAAGTCAAATTCGTAC